TTAAACAACCATTTGCTTTTAGATACTACTCTTGAGTTTTTATTTCAATATAGTTATTCAAATTTAATTTAGATGGTCCCTTATTTTGTATCTGGGACAAGTTCTGGCATACAACTGATAGGGAGCATGTGAGAGCCAGATGAGGTCTGGAGTCCAGAAAAGTTATATCAATTTATTTTTTGTGCCTGTGTTTTGACTTGTGATGTTACAGAAATATGGAATTATAGTGCAAACACATATAATAAAATGATAGATACTAGACAACTATCTTAAACATTTCAGAAAGAATTGTGATTCTTGTAGTTTGTTCCTGCTTGTAGTTGTTGTGCTTGTTCCAGAAGCTGTTATCACCAGCTATATGAATTGCTAAAAGCACTCATGGAGAAATCACAGCTACGATGGCCTTACTACTTACTTGGGGCCATTACAGTAATAATATTGAGTGATTCAGTATCAATTTGTTTTGCAAAACAGTGGTTTTGCTAGCATCTAAACTCTAATATAATGAAACTTTATGGGAGTAGCATGTAAAAAAAGGTTTTCCTTCTCCTTCTTCTTGTGTTTGACCTCTTTTTTGTAAGACTCTTGCTTTGCAGATAAATTTCAGAACTAGAAATATTTTTAAAAGGAAAAAAAAGAAAAGGGCAGCAAAAAATGACCTTTTCTCTCATCTTTTTGTATCGTGTGAAATACAGTCTTGCAGTGCCCCAAGGTGAGAAAGGTTGTCACTTTTTGTCTGTCTACATCATTGTTCTCTGCACCATGAAGCTGTATTTAAGGGGAAGGGTGCTAAATTTTATTTTCACTCAAGGCTGTGATGAAATGGACTGAAAAGCTACCTCAGTTTCTGGATTGTTGACTCTTTGTTGTTGGTTTAAAAACTCCAGTTTCTAAAGAGAGAATTTGTAATACTGTTCTGACAATATGAAAAAAATGAAAGTTTACAGGTATCTTTGTCTCTAGAAAAGGTTTTCTGAAGTCCCCAGTTAGACTGTAAGCAGTAAACATTTTATGACTCTCTTTCAGACTGTGAATATTTAAAATGAAACATCTTAATGAAGGTTATTGAAACCACATATACAGTAGCTTCCTAGGCATTTCAATAAATACACAATTTTTTGTTAAAAATTATCCCAGTGGGAAGGAAAGGGTTGAAAAACTGAAGTTTGGTAAGGAGAGAGAAAAGTTAGTTGTTTTTAGTATTGTTTTATTTTAAAGACTAACCCTGCACCTGGGAGATGTCAGAAAATACTCAGTGTGAGAAAATTCAGTACTTTTGTTTGCTTTGGGTTGTTTTCTGTCTGCTGAAAAAGAAGAGGAATTTTCTCAGAGCGGATAACAGGATGTTGTTAAAGACTTAAATGCCTTTCCCACAGACTGAAGCCTTGTTGTAGGTGGGGAAGGGAGATAAAAGTGTTCCAAGATTGTAGAACACAGCCTGGTGGAGATTTGTGCAGGTTCCAGGCTCTCGGCTATGCAAGGCTCTGGCCTTGTCCTTTTTGCCTCTGCTAAAATGAACTTAGCAGTGCATGTGTCTCCACTTGTTTTTTTGAATCCTCCAGCCAGTGAGATGGAATAAATCTACTCTTTGTACTTCAGCCATGGTCATGGTCATAGTTGTCTTTGCGTCACCTGAATATACTTGCTTTGCAAAATCCCAGGGATAAATAAAAACTTAATGCAGTTCCTTGTGGGAACCTGTGACTGGTTAAATTAAAAAGCAGCATTAGCAAAATGTTTAAACACTCTCTGAAGACTCTAGAAGCTTACCTGAAGAAGCTGACAACTGCAGCAACTTCAGATAAAGGCTGGCAGACTGCATATCAGTCTGAGAACTACTTCACGGTATTTGCCACCTGCCAACAGCAACCAAAGGCTATTCCTGTTGTTATTGGGAAGTTTGGCTTTCCAGTCTGGAGAAGTAGAGGACCATGGAGCAGAGAAAGAAATGAATACTGAGAATACTTACAGGATTGCCAAGAGCATAAGTACTAGAGCATTTTTATGGCTAATTTGGACCACTGAGCTATGTGAAGAAGATGGAGAAAGCCAAATAAATGGCCTTGAGCTCCATAAGTAATAGATGCAGTTTCATGCTGTTTCCCTGGCCTTCTCTGCTCCATTTGCTGCAGATCAGCAGATCTGCTGTTAACAGGACAGCACTGTAGGACACTTTGCACCAGGGTTAGCTGTGCCATTAGGAGACAGCAGACCTGGTATTAGAAAGGAACAGAAAGTTGACTGTCTGACTAGAACTGGAAATTTCCAGCCATACTGGCAAATAAGCTTTAAGTCATATTGTAACCAGCAGTATTTCAGCAGCTCTAAATGATCATGCAGGGGCTCTAGAGAACTGCATCCCTTTCTGTCCTAGCCTTACCTGCTGTGTGTCTGTCTCTATGTACAATAATCTATAAATATGTGTGAGCATCTGTTACTATATTCCTTCCCATCTTCCCTTCACAAGCCAAGATTTCCATAATCTGCTGCCACGGCACTTGTATATGACATTTTGAATGCATGAAGTGCAAAAGCATGACATTTTGAATTAGAAATTAATTTAACAAACGTGTCTGTTGGAAAATGGTTTAGATCCTCAAAATTTGTCAAATGATATTTTAAAAGTTAAAAAGAAATTTCACAAAATGAGCTGAGGAAAGTTAAATTCAAAAGTTAAGGGGAAAAAAATGTTCAACACTTGAGAGACATTATGAGCCTAGCAGAGAGGACATGAATATGATGAATGAGGCAAGTCACTGCTTAATGCTGCTGTTTCATTTCTGTTCATCCTTTCATGTTTAAACTTCTTTAGAGCAAAGAACTCACAGTATGGAGTCTCCAATGGTGACTCAGTCTTATGTGCAAAGCTGAATGCAGTAGATCCTGCACACTAATGCAGTGTAAGCAGTAACTATTTACTATTTCTGAATCGCTGAACCAAGTTAAAAAATAAACTACTTGAGAATGGGCAAATTTGTTAAATTATGTTATTATACAGATGTAAATAATTTCCAAATTCAATTGGCTTGCAACACAAATAGATGCAAACTAGTACATATATTTAATTATAGCATGTCACCACACAGAAGCTTCAGACTAGTGACCTTGGATATTAGATTAGACTGCTTGAGATAGATTAAAAACTGAAACATCCCTACATACTATTTTAAGTGTTAATTTTTTGCACTTTTTGAAAATGAAATTTTGGAAGGGACTAAATTATCTGAATGAGTTCAAAGCTCCAAAGTGGGTGCTTCTCTTGCTTTCAGATTCATAAAAATTGAGGCTAATATTTTGCTAAGGACTAATTAAGATCCTCTAGCTTCCTGCTGGTTGCAGGGTGGGGGACAAACAATGGCACAAGATAAGGAAAATAGATTACGAGCTTACATGCTATGTGGTACCGGAAGTTTTCCTTCATATGTTGAAAATAGGCAGTATTTCTCTACCTGGTACTGTAGATGTGACCCACTCTAAATAAACTCCCTTACTATCCTGGAATAGCAGTGAATGGAAAAGATTCGGAGTCTTTATATTGAATACACAGGGAAGCAGTTCTTTGATAGTCAGAAAGCATTTCTTCTCTTTCTATAAGAGGAGAAGATTAAGAAGAATAAGTTCTATTGTGTACTTAGAGTCTTCTTTTTTTCTGCAAGTTCAGATTTCACAACACCTTTTAGAATAGACAGTTTGGATGGGATTATTTGGGTGATTTCACACAGGGTGACTTCTTCTAGTAGAGGTCTTCTTGGCTTCTGCAGATTGCTCTGCATTGCTAGGAATTGTTCTGTGACACCATGATCTGACATTCGATACATGTGTAATATCAGCATTCTTCATTATTGCACAGTGTACAGTGCAGTAATATATTAATGTTTATTAATTTTAAATCCTGTTTGGTATGAGCAGTAATAACACTTAGCTACAGTAATTTTCCACTTCATTTAATACCCTACTAATTTTAACTGCGTGAGACTATTTGTGAGTCTGATAGCTACACCTTATATCTTCTTTGAATTGATTTTAATATTTTTGTTTGGTTAGTTTAGGTTTTTTTGGGGGAGGGGGTTTGTGGGTTTTTTGTTTGTTTTGGGGTTTGGGTGACGTTTTTTGTGGGTTTTTTTGGTGGTTTTATTTTTTTTAGTTTGTTGTTTTTTTTTTTTTTTTTTTTTTTTTATTTTTAGTTTATTTTTTTTTTTTTTTTTTTTTTTTTTTTTGAAGCCCTGATGGAGTCATATAAGATTTCAATATCTGACCTCTTTGAAGTCTCCTAATCTTAGTCCAAACTTCTAGTTTGTCTCTGCACACAAAATGTATGGACTTCACAAACAGTGTATCTTCTGCGCAGGAATTCTGCTAGTGCTTTTTAAATTTAATTTGACATCCAATTCCTCCTAGTTTCCTTAATCCCAGAATTTCAGAGTGTCTGAGGTTGGAAAGGATTACTTGAGGTTGTCTGGTTAAAAGTCCCCTGCTCAAGGAAGACATCTTGAGATTATTGCTCAGGACCATGTTCAGGTGGTTTTTGAATCTTTCCAAGAGTAGAGACTTCATAAACACTTCAAGCAACCTGTGACAGTGTTTGGTCACTCTAAGAGTGAGAAAGTGATAACCATCTGGAGCCTTGTGTGTTTCAGTGTTTGCCCATGGCCTCTGGGCCTTTCTCTGAGTACCACTGAAGAGAGCCTGGCTGTATCTGAGTCACACCCTCTCTTCAGGTATTAGTACTCATGGGTAAAATTCCCCTGAGCCTTCATAGTTTTCTCAGCCTTTCCTCACAGGAGAAATGCTCCATTTCCTTACTCATCTCAGTGGACCTTTGTTGGACTCTGTTCAAAATGACCATTTCTTTCCCATACTGGGAACCCCAGAACTGGACCCAGCACTCTTGTCCACCCACCAGTGTACCCTTAATCTCTTTCTGTACCTACTTTCATTACCCTTCTTTTGTAGTTTATGTTGTTTCTGCTGTTTTTAAACTATTTTCTGTTATTTTTCAGCAAATCATACTGTGAGATGGGAAAAGAGTCCAGAAGTCTTCTAGAGCCCGTGAGGTTTTTCCTACTCTTCACATACATGTGGGAAGCAGAAGAAAGGCCAAGACAACCTACCGAGAGAGAAAAAGAATGCTTAGATTATTGGACAAGCAAGAGATTTCAGTACACGAGAGGCTGAGAAAATATAAATGTCAATGTAAATTGCAAATTGTATACATGAATTAGCAAATTTTCCTTCTTGTCTTTAGCACATTCTTTGAATTTCTACTACTCTACTCATCCTTATCCTTTTGTTGTCAAGTAAAATTTATATTAGTACCACAGTTAAGCACTTCTGAAGCATTTTAAATGATGGTATTTCAAGATATCTAGTCATTTTTGTTTCTTAAACATCTTCTCTAGAGGATCTTCTCTCTTAAAACTGTGTTTCAGAGACAAAGGGAAACTCTATGTTGCCCAAAGGTAAAATAGTAAGCCTATGACAAAGGGCTGCAAATAACCATATAGTTGTGAATTCTGATAAGCCAAGAAATTACATTATTCTTTTCCATTAAACTTACTAAAAGTACACATCTAGACTTCCTTCTTTAAGAAAAAAAGTACTTAAGCACGGTCATACGGAGGTCAAAATGCAAGCTCATTTAGTCTGGAAACAGGAGCAGTGTGCTCTGCATGTTCAGAATCTATAAGCATCCCAGAAAGTGGGAAATTCATACAGCGTCTCTGTGTAACAGCTACCTAGAGTGCCATGTTTTTCCTGTTTTCATTCTTTTGGTTTTTTTTTTTTTTTTTTTTTACACAAACAGTCTCAGGATCAAATTTACTGTGTTAAAAATGAGCATCTAAATAGATAAGATTACCAAGGCCTTTTTATTCCTAAGGATGACACCCATGACAACTTGCTATGGATTTTTGTCAGTCTTGCAGGAGTTGAAGTGTTGGTGAGTCCATTTGTAAATCCACCTACCACTGCCATTGTGATAAAATAAATTATCAAAATAATGTGATCATTATTTGGGTACAGTCATTTTATCCACAGGATACTCACTCCCCTCATTTCTGTTCTCCACACTTTCTTCCACTTCATAAGTTTATCCTTTTACTGACCTTTCCATGAAATGACATCTTCCAGTTATTCTTCTGGCTATTAAGTGTATTTTTAAGTTTCTGCACAATTTTCCTCAGATCTACCTATGAGATGTAGTTGTCTACCTTCTATTTCTAGTTTCCCTTATTTTTTTCAGTTATTCTTTGGGTCCTTTGAAGTTTCTTTGGGTGTTATGTGTCTCTCCCACTCCCCCTCCACCCTGCCTGCCAAAGTATTCCATAGTTATGTAAGACAAAGACTCATTTTTTCAGAAAACACAAATCCTATTCAATCCAAGTTTTATCAGTCAATCTTTCTTTGCCACATGACTGCATCAAACACTAAATGAGAAAAGCATCCAGGCAAGAGAATCAAACAATATGTAGGTGAGATAACAAGAAACATGAATGGTTCCAATATATTGCATAAGTTTGGAGTTGTAAAATCTTTTCTTCTTGCCCTGTTATGCCTTTTTTTTTTTTTTTAATCTGAGAGACATAAAATTGGATCACAAATTCTTCTTGGCAGAGGGTATGTCTTTTATTTGTGCTTTAATGCACCTAGCCCAGCATGTAAAGAACCACATCATAAAACATATAAAATTTCTTTTCCTTTTTAATAAACTTTGAAAAGAATAATGAATATCATCAAACTGTATTTTAGCTTCCAGTTTTGAACTGGCAGTAAAATCCCATCTATTAACTTTGCTTTTCTTACCTTTATACTTATCTATAAATGTCTTTTTGTTGTAACAATTGCCATTCTTTTTGGACTTTTCAGAAATATTTTTGTAGTAGATAGAACTTAGTAGATTGTTGTCACAATACAGAACATGTATAACAAATTTTTTTTATAGCAAAAAGAAACTGAAATGTTAAAATATGAAAATGACTTTTCAGCAATTGATCCATGCCCCTTATTCTCAAGAAGGCTATGTAGAGAAGTGTTAAAAGAACAACTTGTTTCAGTACTGTCCTGCTGCCAGATCTGCAGCTAAAGATAATGGGACATGGTTGTTTCTGTTATACAGCAGCACTTAGTTGGGTGCACAGCAAGTCTGACTGAGCTCTCCCTACCCACAGACTGGAAAAAAGGGTCTGTGGGATGACTCTGACTAGTGGTGGCAGCTGTCATTTGCTTTCTGTAGTCCTTTGATTTTCTCCACTTTCTTATCTTTTCTCCTTGCTCTCTTTCTTAAGAGTAAATAAAATTGAATTATCATTTTGATTACCAGCATTTTGCCTCTTTTGTGTCTTAATCTTGTCCCAGGTATATCTGAACTTTTCCCCTCTCTACATATGCAGGTTACAACAGGCTGTTGCCATGAGCCAACAAATTGGAGCATTTAGAACAACAGATTGGAAAGAACTAGCTCCTTTTTCTTACATAGTTATGCTCATATTTCTTGTACATTATTTTGGAATTCATTAGCATAGCCAACTATGGTGGCGCACAAAGCATTACGAAAAATATAGGTCTGATCTGTAAAAGGAAGCCATTCTGTATTTGTATCATCAGAACTCACCATGGTAGACTGAATGTAGTCCTTAAAATGAATTTATTTATCTTTTGGTTAGATAGTCATCCTTAGTGATGATGTGATTATCTAATGCAGGTAGAGTGGGTGATGAAAGGTGAATAAAAAAAAATAGCATGGACACAGAGATCAAGACAGCGTCATGTTTCTGGTGGAGACTCTGAAGTGCCTCCTGCTACAAATGAAAAGAATACATATCATCATAGAACTTGACACAGAAATCTGTAAGACTTATTTCAGGTTTTTTTGTGGACACTGGATTTCTGAAAATAATGCCAACTTTCCAGAAAAGGAAAACAAGAAAGGAAGAATAAAATTTTAGGCCCCTGGGCCTGATTTTGGAAGAGTCCTTTTTTAATAGAAAAAAAAATCATACATTAAATGAATACACTCCTACATTCTCTACTGCTTGATAAGGTTTCCCCTCTTTTAGTTAGACTTGTTTATAAATTTTAAGAGGGGAAAAAAAACATTCATTTTCATTGCTGTAAACAATTAGGTAAAAAATATACGCTTAGTAAAAAATATTCTAGTGTCACAGGTTATTGCTTTTTCTTTCCACAAAGCAGAAATGAAAGTCTTACTTGACTTCTGACTGATCATTCAACATTATTTGTTTCAAGGCAAACTGGAGTATTTGAAAGGCTTGGGACTTGAAAGTTTCTGCATGAGTTTCAAAATAACAGGGAAAATGAGTGCAATATCCATCAGTTTGCTCCTTCCCTGAGATAACTGTTGGAAAGAGATCATCACTTTCTATAGAAAGCCATGTCTAAGGCATGCTTCCAGAGATAATCCAATGACAATGATACTCCTTTTGGGAAATAGATTATTTTTAAAGATGAGGATGATGATCCTTTGATTTATAGCTAAATCTTTTAAATAGGGAAATGTACCAGTATAGTCCAATGGAAAGAGGAAATTACCAAAAGGCAGCCTTTTGACTGGCCAACTAATAGGTAAGGCATTTTTTGGGAACCTGATCTTCATAGCTTTGAATGGCAAATATATTCAATATGACTGGCATTGAATTTCCAAAGAAAGGGAATACCACTTGTATTCCCATTTGTATTTAACTTATACTGCAAGTAATAAAGCCAATATTTAATACTTGGCTTTATACCTCTGAGAGAAAAATTAGGGGATGTTACGGTCTTAAATTTCAATTTACAAGTTTTTTTTGCAGTTTATTGCCTCCCTTTATTTTTCCCCTTGTGTGCCTGCATACACCTTGAGCTACAGTGTATGTTTATGAAATAATTCATGCTTCTGAAGTAACCCAAGAGGCTTGAGTACTCTTAATAAGCTTTGTGTTATTGGTATGCATTAAATTACACAAAACACCCAAATCTTTTGGCTCTTACAACTGAAACAAAAATTCAGTTTAAGCATTTATCTTTAAAAAGTTTATGAGGTTTTCACTTTCTTCTTCTCCTCCCATCTCTTTACTCATTAATACTGTGTGCTTAAGGCTTCTTTAGGCAAGGTGAGAGAATAATCTTCTCACTTCTAATTAATTTCAATGGGAACTGTGTGGCTAAACACCTTAGTTTGAAAATATCAACCACTTTTCCACCTGCACAGACTTTCGCTTCTGGTTAAAGAGGCTTAATTTGTCTTTGCCCAAAACATCTCTGTACTTGTGTAAGTTGTTCTACAGGGTAAAGAGCAACAAGAAACTGTTCCAAAGGGACCTGAGAAGATTCAGATTTTTATGGCTAGCATAAATGTTTTTGTTGTTTATGCATCTTATCTAAATGTGATTGCACTACTTGGCTTTTCTCTACAACACTTTTATTCTGGAAGTTACCAGCAGGAAATAAGCATCTCGGGCTTTCCTGGCATGTTTTTAATACTTGAAGAAAGGTCAGAGTGGATTGCAATTTATTTATGTATTTTAAAAATAAACCAACCACACAACAACATATCATCCACTTATGCAGTAATGTCAGCACATTGGGTTTTTTTCAGTAATTTCCTGTCTTCATGATTTGATTGTTTCTTCCTCCACATTTATTAGTTTCATCCCAACTTCCAGGTCTAAAAGGAGACAGTATAGTTCTGATTCATGCTTCATTAAAATTCAGTAGGCGGGTGAATAAGCCATCAAAACTCAGGACACCAAACATCTCATAGTCTGCATGAGTGTCTTTATCTGAGTGGCAGAAGTAGGGAAGGTTTTGCCTCGGCTTGGCAGGCTTTTTTGCTGTGTCATTTCTGGTATGAGCCACTGTTACATTTGAAGCCTCCCTGAGACAACTGTTGCAGCTTGGAGCTAGGATTTAAATATTCTCTTCTGATGAATGGATTCTGTTTTTTTCCTTTTATGGGGAAAAATTTCAAAAATGTCTGAGTAATGTAGAAGCCTAAATCCCATCTAATGTCACTTAGAATAAAATTATCAAAAGCTTTTTTATTCTTAGAGCTTACACTTGTCAGATGCACAATCTGCCATGGCTGTCACAAATCATCTCTTCTAGATCCATTTTCACTTCTAATTTTCTAACAAAAAAAAAAGAGTAACTTAAAAGATCAGAGAAGCAGCATATAGTCCATTTTATTTAATGCAGGGCTAGACTGGATGGGATAAAGTGAGTTTTTCTAGGTAGACTGTGCACAGCCATTCAGCTCTAATACCTCAAAAGATATTCTTTTGCGCCACTTGACCTTTTTGTTATGCAGATATTCTTGCAAGAGTATAGCAGCAAATTGAATTTTACCTTGACACTCCTGCTCCATTCTGGTAAAATGACACAAAATCCATACTGTACCCATTAGTGTCAGACTAACACATACTTGTTGCTGCAGGTTTTACTGTTATTACTATTCCCTCAGCTCTCCTTTGCACCCCAAGGTACGTGCTTAAATATATGTGCACTCCATGACTCATAAGATATATTTGGCCTGTCCATAGATACAAACAGGTAGAAAGGAAAATGATGGTTA